TTAAACTTTTTTCTTACGAATAATATACCTTGAGTTTTGGTATAACTATAAATTATTTTAAATTGCTTGAGAAAAAATGATCCAATCAGAGTTTCTCGACGCCCATGCCCCTTTTCACATAGAGGCCAAAAAAGATAAAATGGAAGGCCATCAGATTCGCTATTCTGGTTGAGCTTGCTTTATTTTATGATATTGACGCTCATAAAAAAAGTTTACTAGAAAATCCCTTAGCTACACACTTATCACATCTGCGTTTAGGGAATAATAAGCTAATACCTATACAGGGGCTAGTCCTGCTAATAGACAATGTCAAAAAATTGACTTTGCATGATTTTCGTTATTTATTGAAAGAACTATATAATAAAGTTCAAGTCAAAGAAACTAAAGACAGACTCTTATCACATTTTCCGATCACTTTTAACTATTTTGATCCTGTTACAGGTAAAAAGAAAACTGAAAGATTTTGGCTAAATTGTAGTCAAATATTTTCTTATAATGATATCCACTATTTATTAACAGCACCATATAGTAACACAGATCAATATAGAAAATTGAGATGTGGGCTATTAGCTCTTGCAAAAGCTCAAATAGGAGATTCAATTAAGTCTGATTAGAAGTTGTTAATAATTGATGACATTTCATTCTAACTTACGAATAATATTTTATCCATATACTAAATCAACTGCTCGATCAATTACCAAAGTATACCATTCTCTTGAAGTATGCTTATTATTATTTGCCATTTCTCATCAGAATCAAGTCATAAGGTTGTGACTCCATTATCCTCAAGATCACGACAGATAATTTCTTCTCCTATCAATCTTTCCTGTACTTTCATGTCCATATATTCATTAGGATCTTCTTCCAACTCTACTGTATAACTACACATTCGAGAGTCAGTTTTCATTCTATTTTGAAATGCAATGGAATTGAGCCTATCTTTTTCTGTGATAATTACGAATACACCTGGATCTTCACCATAATTGATTGCCCATTTTCTGAGACGTTCTTCTCACTGGAACTCTGAATATGAGAATGGCAGATGATACTTGATTGATAGGCTTAGGAGAATCGGTTGGGATCTCTTTAGGAATATTGTTTGTTTAGGAGATATATTCACAGCTTTACTGATAGGCTTGGAATTGGAAAGCTTGCTATTAGCAGGTTCATCAATTACTGACTCAGGTGTTTTAGAAGTTACAGATTTACCAGATGTTTCAGATGTTGAGGTGATTGAAGCACAGGTATCTTCATCCTGTTTATCCACCTTCTTATCTTTACTAGTTCTAGGTAGAGGTGTACTCTTTTCTAGTTGAGACGGGATTATTTTTGGGAGAATAATTTGTGATACATTGAATATAGGTATGTCTGTAGGCTCACTTTATATACATAAATCTTCTTGAGGTATTTCAGAAAATTCTTCGATATCACCTAGGCCAGATTCACAGAGCTTGGCTATAATTTTAGAGTGATCGAAAATATATACCCATTCCCTTTTTCTACCACCCGCTCATACCTGTTTACTCTCAATTCCAATTTGAGAAAACTTCTTTCTGGCAACTTTATTAGCGAATGGTTTTTCACCATTCTCTTCACACTAATCGAGATAATTTCAATATAGTGCTATACGACTTCACCTGTCTACATTATCAACAGGCTAAGGTGCAATATGATCAATCATAAATCGAATGGGATTGGGAAACTAGTCTCACATCATCTTTGTTTTCATTTTAGTTACTAATAAATTACGCGGATGCCAGTCTTTCGGAATATCAAAATTAAGTAAATATGCCATAAAATGATTCCGAAGTATCTGGATAGTTGAGAATTTCACCCAGACTTTTGAAATATTGAAAATTACCTTTACACTAGGAGGAAACGTCTAAACATACACTACGACTGTCTTCCGATTCCATCCGAATTGGAGCATCATAATTACTTAAAACCATGAATCTAGGATAATTAGAGTTAGTAAAAGTCTTAATAAGTCCTAGTTGGTCTTTAATAATTAAAAGATAATTTTAATTTATATACTATTAATTAAATTT